AAGCGTAACAAAACAAATGTTAATAAATTAATGTAAATAAAATCAGAAACCAATCTTGGGGAATCGTGGATCCCCAACAAGATGTATCATCCAAACTTATCTTTACACTTCTGTGTGATTATCAATAAGATGACATCAGTCCTTCTTGCGTTCTTGAATTGAGAGCACGCATTCGTATGAGATTGGTAAACTGTCTCTAAGAGTGTTATTGGTTTAGCTAAGATTGTCATTGTAAGACTCAGTTATTGTGATTGGCTGATATAAGAAAGCCTAAGTCTGTTATCAAGAAATGCTAACAGGTGCTTAAACTAACGTATTTGAGACCAGCTTATGATTTAAAGCAACATAGTTGCGATTGCAGTATGAACTAGCTACTGAAGGATAATGAACTTCACTTTTCTAACTATTTTTAAAATTATAAGTTTGTTTCGACTAGATATAATGGAAAACATGGTTTTTGTGCTTTGAAATGTTAGAAATTGTGCATTTTGACTTTTTTCCTGATAGGATTTTCATGTAAACAGCTAAAACTGTGGAAATAACTACATTAGGTAAACCACCCCTCGATTCCATGATTCCCCTTCATATCCCTACCTTCTTTAAGAACTATTAGTGGCGTCAGCTATGCTTTATTACGAATTTATAGTCATTCGTGCAAACATATTTCGTTAACATCTGTTTTAAGTAACGTGTTACTAAATCACTGTCCAGAATTCATTTATTAAAGCAATGATAATGGCTCATGACACTTCTTCGTTTTGAAATGATGTTTCGTCGCTGGCCTAACTCTAAATCGTTAAGTTGCTTCAGTTCTATTCAGAGCCAACATTTCCTGATGAAATCTAGTTAAAAATACGCTGACCCGGATTTGCACTCTAGTTGAATTCAATTTGTTTTTTTAAGGCATATTATTTAAGTGGATTACTTCAGTCTTGCTGCTTCATCACCGGTTGAATAAAAATTGATCAAATCAGTAGTTATTAAACCCCTGAATAACAGCAGTACGCATAACCAGAAAAATGATAACTATGAAAACCGTGCCAGTGGTACTTTAGCTCTTGACCAATCAAAAGCCACCTGCTCGTGTTAGATCATGTTACGTGCGATGTCTGGCACACTTAATAAAGGATAGCAGTGCATTAATACTCATAGAAGGTGTCTTTTGATGAATAAAAAACTCGCGATTTATTCTGATCCAAACACCAGTCTTGGACAATGCTTTCCAGCCTTGGAGGATATTCGGAAAGACGGTGTAGTGACAGATTTAATAATCAAAGTAAGTACTATTTGTCATGGTTACTGTCCTCCTGTTTAGACAAACGACGGTGAGATCAAAGCGCATCGTGTTGTGCTAGCTTTACAAGTCCCTTTCTTAAGACAGCAACTTTCAAATGATAAAGCTTATATTTTAAACAACACATTGAACTGGCCTATGCTACCTCACAAGTGAGTGAATTTCTAATGAATTTTGACGTAAATTCTTATTCAGAGGTGTGGAAACACTTATCAAATACATCTATACGGGAAGATGTATAATAAAAGACGAAAATGTCTTCGATCTCTATTTTGTTGCAAAGGCATTGAGGGTTAGCAGAGTTGTCGATTGGTGCATCGATTTCCTTAAGAAAATGTACGTTGCATTTATTGTTATCTGCTTGGACGGGCCACGTTTACATTGTTTCCCTAGGATTCTTGTAGAATTAACGTTCGGTTATCGAATCAGAACTGCTCTCACCTCCTTCGACATCAAAACCATCCTCAGATTTGAAAGATATTTTAGTGCTATAATTACGTTTGTGTATGACTTTCCAAAACAATTCACACAAAAGTTAGATTTCACATTGAGGTCTCCACTTGTAGTGGTTGTGTCGCCTTCTTTATCCTTGTGTTCCTTATCGCCTACTGAGCCATGAAAAGGAACAGCCGTTGTACTAGCAGTAGCATTCGCTATCTCTTTTTGGCAGTGCGTCAGCACATTACAGCATTTAATGTTCCCTGTTGGCTTATTCAAATTCCCTTTTTAAACGTCCACATTATTTTTACACCCACCACCAGAAAGTTTGGCGCGTCACGAGCGCAGTTATAAACAAGCGGACGCAAAACAGTGACATTTTAGCCAGCCACCATCGTGGATTGGGTTTCAGAGTTGGAGATTTATCTGTGGTGTTTTAGATTGATAGTGCTTGAAACATTTATCGATCATCTAAAATACCGCTTGTTGTGGGCTGAAGCATTCAAATGCACTTGAGAATCATCAATTACTGATTCTAATGCCCATGGTGATTTTTCATTCAAATCGGAGGTTACGATAATACATAAGCCATTTACAAACATAATATGAGGTGACAACGAGTTGCCCTGTATTTTTTGTAGATTTTCTAACAGCGCTAAGGAAAGCAATTTAAATTTTGAGCCAAAGTTCACGGCGAAAACCACTGATTGCCGGATTATTACAAATATCCATTTTCGATATATTTGGGTAACTAGCACAAAAGTCATTCCTGCGTAAAAATATTAAGAAACGGAGGTGAACTTTCAGAGGAGACAAATGAATTGCGCGAGATGAGCATAATGCGAGGCACTTTGTGCCTAGTGATGGGCAAATGAACTATGTTATTTTACTCTGAAAGATTAAGGTGACTAAAACGCCCTAGCACGATTTATCGACTAAGAGCATTTTATGCAAGATTTTACAAGGCAAATGCTGCCGAAATGCACTTCATTTGCTTTTACTTATACGGACCTTGTAGCTAAAGGCCTCGGTAGATATAATGGATTATAAAATCATTTTAAAGGCACTGTCACCGTCGGTTGGTGTGTCACAAACTCACCTCATTGAAAATACCAGTTTTAATTTCGACCTAATACCAGCATCCTAATTTAAAGTCCAATCGCTATTTCTCATCACGAAAGTGTAATTTCAATAGACGAAGGTGATGCTCTGCATGTAATGGGATCATGAGGATATCGCATAGTAGAAACATATGCTGTTATACAAGTCAATCAAGTTGAGCATTTTGAAGTACTTGGGAAGGCGACAGTGCCAGACCTCAGACAGCAGGTGAATCGTGTTTTACTACATTAAGACATTGTCACACTTCGACGAAATTCTGCAGAGGACTCAAAAAATAATATCAGGCGTGTTTTGTTTCGTCGTTATCATTTTCTGATCTACTCCCCTTGTTTTAATAATTGCCAATTTTGCAACTCAATCTCTGTAGATAGTCAAGATTTATTTCAAAACCTTCACTGTAAGCTTACAAAACGCTTGATTACTGCTGCTCCCCATAAACTGTCTTTTTAAAACTAGACTAACATCCCGGATGACTCGTGCTTAAATTTCATTCACTCCCTAGTTTTGACGGCTCAAATTAAACATTTTAAAGTGATATTTCCTATTAGTTATTTATTGCAATTCACCGAACTGGACCTGCGAAATCTCAACAGTAATATAAACAACAGTCCTATTAGAATCGATGCTGTATGGAGACCTAGCCATTAATAGTTTACATCTTTGCAACGCAACTATACTCTTACACTCCGCACAACTTCCTCACTGGAAGCAGGATTTCTAGAAGACCAAGACAGTCACAAATTTTCTTGATACATCGCTTAATACTCTAAAATGGTATCTTACTTGAGTGGCAGCACATGGGTAGAAATTTATGCAGGTGTGAATATATTTGAGCGACATAACTACACATAACAATAACAAAATTAATCACTATGTTACCAAGACAGCAACCCATGAACTTTTGTTAAGCGTCTATTATATAGCTAGATGCCCTGCGTCAAGGCTCCAAGGTAAGTGGAGCATTTATACTAATTTGCCTTAGTTTCGGTTTTTGCAAAAATTACACCAGTTTTTGTTAAACTAATTAGTACGTTATGCTTTGAGCATCTTCGATTTTGTGATATAAAATTGATTAAGGAAATGAAGGACTACCCGGGCTCGAAAAGGAATCTTATTTTGTTCGTACTGCTGCGTTGCTTTTGTATTTTACTGTCAAAATAATCTGCAATTCTGTAATCATGAAGCCACTGTGACAAGATTTAACTCTGGCCCCTACGATGAAATTAGAAAGGTTGAAAAGTTACCTCTCCAAGAAACCCAATAAACTATGACTCATGGCACCTCATGGTAATTCAAAATCCTAGTTTTGTGTTCTGTAAAACACTAAGCCTCGAAGTTCATATCCTGTATTAAATTTATGGAGTTGTTGTTTCGTCGACTAACATGGCTGCAAAAGGTAATGCGAATTATACTTCACACTTTCAATTTCTACTTATGATGTAGAAATGAATTCTTAGGTGGCCGACGTTTGCACTAAACACAGGTTAATTGTACAAATTAATAAAAAGACCTCATATCGTACCTTTTGGTGTCTTGTGCGATACCCTGCTCCCGTTTTTTCAAGGTTTTGTTTACGAATTTTGGTACTATTGACATTCTTTTTCCTTGTGACACCGTGTTGAGTTTTGACAAAAGCCTGAATGTCACTAAAATATTGCACATTAATTCTTGTCTCTGCCCCATGTTCATTTAAAATTGACAGTGCATTGAATTTTGCTTTGTTTAATCGGTAAGCATAAGGCCACCTCAGTTGATGCAACTCGAAAATGGAATTGGTTTATTGGCATAAAAAGTGAAAATAAAATCGGTGGCTGGCTAAAACAACCACTGGCATTTCATTTTTACGCATACATAGTCTTTAATCACCCTCCTTGTTGTTCTAATTTAACAGTGGTTCCAATCAGGAATTGTCACCAGGGATTAACAAGTCCCTGTTTTTGCATACAGTACTGCATTGAGGAGTAATTTCACCTCACAGTTTCAAATGTACTATGACAATATCTGTATCCTTATCAGGCACAAACAAATTAATGACCCTTTCCGAAGGTCACTTTCCTCATGTCCTATTTGCACCCGTTCTCGTTTTGTTGTAAGTTCTTTGCTTTGTGCATAGCCTCTAAATAACTATTCAGGAATTGTGGCAACTCCCCTTGATTATCTTTCCGCATTAAATTGTACGGCAACGACTCATCTTCGCCAATACTCTTCATTGCAATTAAGTTTAACCTGTAAAAATGCCGTTAAAAGTAATCTCACAGGGACGTTGTCACAGCATCCTCACATACCATAGGCGCATATCGGAGGGGATTATCTTTCAACGGTTATCAGCCTGTTGATGAGGTCAAGGAAGTAGTGGCAATATCTCCAAAAGCATAACACAAGATAAAGCACAAAAGTAGTTACGGCTTTTATCGGTTTCTGGCTCGCATTCTACCTGGAATATTTTCCGACACCCTTCTCTCTTATTTCAAAGGATTTCGAGTATGACTAATGAAGATATTGAGTCTGCATTCATCTTTGCGTCCCGTAATAGTCTACCCTCTTTGGAACACGCATGCATTCAAAAATTATTGGTAGAATTCAGTGCATTCTCCAAGTCTCCTTTATTCTGCAATTTTGACTCTGAGCGCGTGGAATCGGTATTAAGGGAAAACAATCTGCGAGTTGACAGTGAATGTTGCGTCTTCGAGGCAATCGTCCAGTGGGTTGACGCGGGACCCAAAGAAATGCAAAGGA